AATGTGAATATATATATATACATACATACATACATACATACATACATACATACATACATACATACATACATACATACATATACACTATGTGATGTAAACGACTGAAGCCTGAAAAAACAAACTGAAAGGCCTCAATCTCGGCCGTTTCCTCTGTTGGAACAACGCGTTCCACTCGCTGACTTTTTGATTGTTCTCTGGTTTCAGGCCAGCAAGATGCATGTGCGTTCAGCTCAAGTGGCGCAGGACGAGGTGAGTCTGGAAACTTTTCTTATGCTGTCCGTCCTCTTTTTTTATATATATCCTTTCATTTCCTGAGCTGAGCCAATTGAATCAGCTTCATTGTCATATAAACTTGAGTCTACGAGGCCTTTTCTCAACCAGATTGTTTCTGGCCCTAGGTTATGTAAAGTAATGTGATGTCCTACTGTACTGTGGCATTTTATTATTATATATTAAATGGCTGTGTATAAAATCAATGCATTGCCCACACATGAAATGCACGAGGATGTGGAGGTTTGTTCTGTGTTAATTATCCAGTTGAATTGGATATGTCTGATGTATCTGGCAGGAAATCGCCCGACTGTTAATGGAACAAGAGAAGAAGGAGTACAGGAAGAACCGAGATCGGGAGAAAGAGCAGGAGAAGGATAAAGACAGGGAGAGGTATGCCCAGGAGAAGATGGCATATGAAAGGGGGCGACCAGAGGGAGACTACCGGGTAATTTGCTCTAACCAAGCTCATTTTAAAACATTTGCTTTTGGGTGAAATATTTTTGCAGTTTTAGAAAACGATTTTTGTTTCCACTGCGGTACTGGAACCATAATTTTAAGAAACCATAATTTGTGTTGGTTTCCAGCCCAGCTCGGAGGAAGTGGTCCGGCCCAGAACACGAGACGAGCAAGAACACCAGCGGCAGAGGCACCACAACAAGCCCTCCAGGTACAGACTCATTTCTCTTGACACCAATTATTTCCAGTCAGTCAAGAAACACAATTATCTCATTAATGTTCTGTCTCTGTTTTTCTCCGTCTGTCTCAGGCCTCCCCAGCCTCGTGGACAGGACTATGAGAACGTGAATGCTGGCTACGGCTACTCGGACCATGCACCCCCCCGCGCTCCCACCAGACCCGAGGCTCATATCAGAGGTATGCTAACATTACAGCTTAGTATTTTACTAAAGTTTATCCTTTTAAACCTTCAAGGGAATGTATTTTTGCTTCAAGAATGGTGGACTGTCCTGACTGCACATATTCTGTACTACTGTAGAAAGTAGTGTTGAATTTGCTAAAATAACAATTAAGACAATAAATGTTCTCAACTCACACACCTTCCCATAATGAAAAATCTTCCAATATTGCTAAAAGGTTTTTATGCTTAGCTGAGTTAGAAAAGTTGGTGAATCGATGAAAGCAGAATGCGACACAGTGCAAGGGAATAAATGACGTAAATAAAGCATGTGACTTTTGTCCACTGAAGCTTTTTAGCTTTTGACTACTTTTCTTTCAATTGACTTGTCCCTATCTCTGCTTCAACGAACAAATACATGATCAAGTCCTAACCAGGGAATGCTTGTTTTTACAGTGCTGTTTTTGGCACCCAGGAAGAAAAGATCAAAGTTTCCTTTCTCGACGAGTTGACAGTTAAGAGCTAACGGGGAATATAGGGGGGAGAGGATACAAATAGGAGATGCTGCTGCTTAAAGTCTGAACCTTTAGCTCTACGCACACGCCCCGGGAAGTTATATCTTTCCTTGAAACATAAACTGGTTTAAATATAAGAGTTATGTGAAGAAACCAAAAGCAGAAGAACGTTCCGGATCTCAGAGAAGACGAACTGATGTCTGAAAGTAGCAGTGCAGAAACACTTGGATGCAGCGTGACGTGTCAGTGGTGCTGATAGATCTGTCTGTCCTCCCTCTCTGACAGGTGCCTATTACAAGCGGTGACTCCGGCTCTCTACCCTGTCCAGACATACTGTCAGTCCTCCTTCGTCCTTTATTTTTTATTTATCTTTTTGTTTTACTCTCTGTCGACCAAAAGCTTGTCGGCAATGGGATTATCTTCTTTTTTTTTTTAAATACCCTCCAAAGTTGGCCCGGAGTTAGGTAAGTGGGTCTCTGAGTGATGCAACTACACTTATCTGTCCCTTTTTTTATTTGTAAATTGTGTTATTATTTATTTTAACTGACTCAACATCCAGACAAGCCAAAAGCCTTGTGACACAAACTCCCCCTGATTCTTAGCTGTCAAAAAGTAGAGGCTCCTCCCCTTCTGTGGTCAACATGTGCTGATGCTCCTGTCATCACAAGGGCTCAATGCCTCTGCTGGATATGACTGTGCAATCTCCAAATTCCTCTCATGGACGTGCCTGCCTGGTCCAACGCGGCTGCTAGTGTCTTACATACCAACATGGCAGCTGCTTTATACCTCATGCTGCAGTTCTGTTGTCTTATCATGCTGTGCTACGAGGCTACAGGCCCTCTCCATGTGCCACACAGCGCACCACTCCTGTTATTCAAAAATAAGCCTTTATCAAGATGCTGGTAGTTTTGCTTCGACATGTTTTACCACCTTGTTCCAGGGCAGAGGAGGTGGAGCTTTGTGATGATCCATGGACTTTTAATTGGCTGTAGGCTGTCTTCTTCTTCTGCTTGTGAGGGGCACTGTTTAAGCCCCATCACCCTTAAAACTGTGGATGGATGATATTCTGTGTATGACTCACTGTTTCTATGTGCATGCTTACTGAAAGTGTACAACTGTGTACATGCATTTCAGCTCTATACCAAGTTATCTGGCTCCCTCTTTATTGTTAAAGCCACAAAAAGCCAATAATATCTTTCTTTGTGAATGAACAAAATATCTTAGCTCATATGCTGCTGTGAAATATATCACTTTCCTGCCATTATTTCTTATCAGCTTGTCATTCGCAAACCAAAACTGGCCCATAAAAGAACCAGTACCCAAATGAAATGCATGTACATTGCTTGTCTGTGTCAAAGCTGAATTCATGCTTGTGCTTATATGCACTTGTTGTGGGATTGAATATACGCTCTTTTATTTAAAAGTAAATATCATATTTTTGTTTATTTTTTAATTGTGCCACCAAATTATGTTCCCTAGAGTGAAAAATACAAGATTCTCTCATTAGTCCCTTGATTGTGTGTCCAACGTTTCTTTCTTTTTTTTAATAAAGGGACCCTTTTTTATTTAATTTTTTTACCACTGTTTTGTTGGTTTTTCCGATTATTTTGTTTCTTTAATTTCCATTCCCCAAAGCTTTCCCGCAGTAACTTCAATCTGTTTCTTTGTCTAAAGCTCAAAGGCAGCCTTCATTTCCTGCTGGTAGAAAAACAAACATTCCCACAGTGGAAGTGCATCTGGATGGAGGGAAATCGGCCAGAGGATCAGTTTAAATAGATATAACTGCTCAAAGGGACCTATTTTAGTGTTTTTATTACTCTGGGATCCATTATTTTCTGTTCATATTGAATAATAAGGATGTTAAGAAAAGTAAAAAGCACATTCATGCTTTTGAGTTTACCGAAACGTTTGTGATTCTGTCTTTCCAACATTTAGTGCTGCCTCCAAGTCCTCTTGTTGTATTAAAATGTCTTCTTTCAAAAATGATTCCCTCCCTGTTCAGAGAAAGTGTAAGATGTTTGTATTGCCAAGGACAAACAAGCAGGTGTTGTTGAAATATGATATGTGCTAGTTGCTGTTGAAATAATGAGATTCGTGCCATGTGTTTGTAATTTTTCAGGGACTTGAAAATGGGAAAACCTAGAGTTGTGGTTGTAGCAGAGAAACCACACCTACCGAGGTGGGACTCCTTATTTAGTATTTGGTGAGAGCACCACCTTGTGGACAATTGAAACAACACAAATGATATCTGATTGGAGTCGTAGTGAACTTGTGGATATTGCGCATCAGACATTATTTTGGAATAGAGTGCTGTCAACAAAGTGCTACATACATATTTTTCTTTAATCCAGGGCTTGTATGCAATCTACCAATCATGAATCAGCACATAATGTGTTGGCATTTGCTGTAACAGATTTTTAAAGTAAAACAAATGAAGTTGATTTTACCTATAGCATCTCAAAAATGTAATAAATTTCAGCATTTCCACCGTTTGTGCATTTGACTCTTTTCATTAGTCATTTTGGTCACTAATACAAAAGTCATTTTACCAGTAAAACAGGTTTATGCTTTAATTCACCCTCAATAAGTACCTTAAGGTTTCTTTAAGTCATTTATATCCATACTTTAATTTCCAGAATGTCCCCTAACCACAAGACACTACCGGTAAAACGATAGACAAACTGCCCACAACAGCAAAAAGATGTTTTAATATTCTCTTCATTTGAACTCTCCCTCCTGGCACTGACGCATTTCACCCTGAACAAATCTACATTCCAAATTAAAAAAATACCTCAACATTAATTAAATCATTCTAGATTTGTGTCACACCCATCTGACTCACCGGTTACCAGTGTTAATGCAGGTAATGCTGGTCAATATTCACACAAGTTAGGTCTGCATCTCAGCAATACCAAAAAAAGGGATCCCAGTTTGAAGAGACCTGTTGACCCCAGCTGTTATGCATACAAACGTTACACCATAGCTAAAAGATTAGTGAGACACGAAAACTCTGTATACAGTATTAAGTGCTTTCCAAGTGTTTATTTGTCATGTTTATTTCTGTTGTAACAGATACACAAATGTACATTTAATACAAGCCAACATGCAATCATTTTTCTTTTAAATCGACAAAAAACAAATACTTTGATCCAGGACATTTTCTTTCATCTCTTTACTTGTGACTCATCTATCATGTGCTCAGTGGATTTATTGTACAATAATTCTCTCGGGTAGTCTTTTATTGACAGCATTTTTAATAAACCATGCCAATCTCCAGGAAAGTACAGTCACACCCTTCATCTGAGAAAAGGCTGAGTGGATCTGGTTCACCAACATACCTGACATACTGATGCCTGCTTTTATGTGGTAACACCGCGGCCATGCCCTCAGAGAGAGATGTCACAACCAAACTACTGGAGCTACACCTCCACAACAGAAAAGTGGCTGCTGTAGAGATTAAAGGGTTTTCAGATCAGACAAGTAACCTGTCCCACTCCTACAGTCAGATGTCAGCTGTGTTAAAAATGAAGATTATAAATTGTTTAACTATAATATCCATACAACTCTAGATATTGTACAATTCTACAGTCATGATGCAACATTTAGGCTATGTTGTCCAGACAGTTTAGCTCAGCAGTGTTTCAGGCTGGCATCCATTTCAGTTTTACTTTACCAAAATAGATTTTCCACCTCAACCTGAAAACGGCTGTGGATCAAACAGTTAACAAATCATCCACAACTCCATTGTGTCAGCTTTAGTTGGCATTGATGTAGCCTGCTTTACACACACGACCAGAAACAATGACTGAAATTTTTGAGCACATAAATACCCAGGCAAAGTTTCCAGCTGTGCGGATAACACAAATACTGCAAAACCCTGCGAAGAAAAACAAAAGTTATGTTTAACGATATCAAGTTGTGCGTCACAAGTAGGCTACACGTTTGAGCGTGTTTTCTCCGACAGGCTGCATCACAAAATAGGCAAAATTACACGCACAACTGCAAGCAAAAACATTCACAATACTTCGCTCAAACTCGATTGATATGAATCATTTGACGCATCACTGAGTGCCAATCTGCACCGCCGCAACAGGTGTTCGCGCCGAAAAGTGCACAGAACACGGTGACTGATGCAACACAAAATAACGCGTTTTCACAGGTAATTGAACTCACCTGTCTTCCAATCACTCAGGTAGCACGAGACTAATGAACGAGCTGCTTTATTCAGCGCGAGGGTGGAATTCATTCTGAGGACTGAATGTCTTTTCCGTGTCTCACCTGGCAGGTAACAAGGTGAGTGCAGCTGTCTGTCAACAGCAGCGTGCCGTGTTAAGACACGAAGACGCACCCACTTATTAGCGAGAGAGGGAGGGACGGAGGGAGGGGGGGGTGAGAGAGAGGGAGTTTTCTGTCTATCCTGGTCAAGTGTCTATCAAAACGTAACTCATATATAAAGAGGGGGAAAAAGCAAGTGTTTCAGCTTCACTATTTGATATCACTTTTTTTTTTTAAACGTAGTTTTAATCCTATGACTTTCATGTATTTTCTCTCCCTCTCTCTCTGTCTCTCTCTCTCTGTCTCTCTCTCGGCCTGATGAAGCCTAGGGCGCATCTTCAGGAAAAACCGGTGGAGGGAGTCAGATAACTATTTGTCAGACACTCAACTGATCCAACACTCAACTAAGGTCTGCCTCATTTTCATGGGAGGGAATCATTACCCCAGTTACAGATCAAAATACAACTCAAGGAAACAAGAACAGTTAAATTAAGTGAACACAACATTTCATTTTCTTTCTTTTTTTAACTGAGCACTTAATCAAAAACTTTTGAAAAAAAAGTTGATCCACTAGTTGTGTTCATTCATTAACCTTGCATAATGATTCTGCACATCTCCATACTCTCAATAAATATATAGTCATTGTAAACCTATTTTGTAACTTTTTTTGGTGAGTTGAGTTGTTGTGATCTCGTCTGTCTGTCTGTCAGTCAGTCAGTCAGTCAGTCAGTCAGTCTGTCTGTCTGTCTGTCTGTCTGTCTGTTAATCCTACACGGAAAGGATTGCATCAGTAGTAGTTTCCTAAATAAATTGTAAATTCAGATAACTGATATCTGAATTCAAATGTAGGTAGCCCTGATTGTATCAAAAGTAAAATGAGAGAGGTATGGCACTCATATTTGTGCTCATATGCTAATCTCATCTATTCACTTTTTAAATGGTTCTTAACTTCCTGTAGGAATTTATTAAAGTTATGAATGGCAGTCTAGCAGCCCTTGACTGTCTGTGACATTTTGACTAAGGTTGAAATATAGCCGCAGAAAAGTGAAAGCTGTTGAAGGCTGCCATATCGACAAAGGGAAATATTCTCAGGATTAGGTGTAAAAAAGGAGCAGGCGGTTGGGCCCCAGGCTCCGTGCTGTGCCTGATGCAGGAATGACATCGGACTGGTTTATAGCTGCACCAAGGCCCTTCATGCAGGGAGTCACCCTTGTATGCATGCCAAGTTAATCCTCAAGTACTTATCTTGCACAAAATGATCCATTACAACTGAAATCATTTTAGGATATCGATCCATTGGAACAGTTTTAAAAGTAATATAAAACCCAAAGAGGTCGATATAAGAACTACAATATAACTTAATGGTTGGCTGGTTTGTTTTTTAAAGATAAAGAAATGATACAGGAAGGACATTTCAAAAAGTTTACTTGTCTTTCAGTCATCTACACTTTGACACTTAGACAAAGAAACAGAGGTGCAAATAAATAAATGAAGTATGTTTAGCTTCAATTTAGCTGCTTCAGTTTCAGGGCTGTGTGTGATGGCTCATTCGCATTTGATTAAAACATAGCCTATGTTAATGTTATAAGTCACATCGGGGCTTTTCCTACTACTACAAATCAAAATATCTGCATGATGCGAAAAAGGTTGGGAAAACACAATCTGGGTCCTTGCTTAAAAGCTTTATTGTAGCTCACAGGTTAGTTACAACTCTCTTTTGGAAGACTTGGAAAATATCATGTTATTCATTTGTAAGAGTACCAATAAATAATGAGGACCACAGCCCCTAACCCTCGTGTTCAGTGGGAAACATACTGTACAAATACTTGTGTGTTCAGAGCTCAGAGGCCTTGTTTTCCGACCTTAGATGACCTTTGTGGCAAAACTACTGACAATACAGGAAGTCTCTCTTCCATCCACTAGGAGCAGCACTGAGCGGCTCCTCAGGTGGAACCAGGGTCGGCGTCATGGGTGGGCATTCGCGGGCAATGCCCCCCCAAATGAGTCACTGTGCCCCCCCTGCCAGGCCAGGCAAGCCCTGCCACTTTGCCGTTTTTTTAATTTATTTTTTTATCATATTATAAGTGAAAACGTTTCCACTAAATCGTGTGAAATAAATCAGAAATAAAGAATATAAATAAAAAACACAGCCTGAGGTGTGCTCACTGGTGATTGGTGTGTTTCTTGACCAATGACCCCGGCCTTTGATTTGTTGTTATTAATTCAAAAAATGCGCGCATAATTAGCAAGTCAGTCAGACGAAGCTAATGCTCGGACTGTCGGACAGTAATAAAGTAATGGATATACGTAAATGGCTGCCAGGTGCAGCTGCTACACGGCCTCCTCCAACTCCTCCACCTCCTGAAAACGAAGGGAATAATGCCCCCATCTCCAGCATCGCCGGCGGCACCACCTCTGAAGAGCTGGAGCCGTGCTCTTCGACCAGCCAACCTGCTAGCCAAGCCCATCCACCTGGCTGCCGGCTATACGTTAGCGCTGAATCATACAACCCATAGAACGATATTGGACACTGATCAGTCCCAAAACGAAATCTTCTTAAAACAGTACCTTTACAGCATTTCCTGACAACCGAGACTTGGCCCTTGAATACAGTGTAAAGGCCGATGCTGCATTTTGTTTCTGCTGTCGGCAGTCTAGCAAAGCGGCTGGAGACGTGCTGGTGTGTGATGATTACGGAGGTGTCGGTGGGTGGAGTAGGGTCTCGCTCTAGAAGTGCTCTGGTGGGATTTTGTTTTGCTGTCGGCTGTGGAGTTAGCGCTGAACCGTGAGATGGATGTGACATTTAGTGTTTGTTGGCTTCGCGTAACTGGAAAAATGGCGGGTGGAGTGAGAAGGAGATGCGAATTGTTGATTTTCTATTGGAAACATGCATATATTTGTATAATATAGGAGTTCTATGGGTCTTTCCCTCGTGTGGTTTTATGCTAATGTTGGTAGAGTATGTGTGAGAGTTGTTGTTGGTGTTTTTGGTGTGTGGTGTGGTGTGTTGGTTGTGAGAGAGGCGTGCCAGCATCTGGATAAAGATTGATGTTTTTTTTTTGTTACACTTGTTAACGCAGACGAACTACGAAAAAACAGTATGTGTGAGGGTGGAGTTTCTTCTCTTATTGATTTCTGGTGGGGAACCAGCTGCCTTTTTTACGTGGGGTTGTTATAATTATTGATAGCTCGTTTTTTGTATCTGTTGTCTATTGGTTGAGATGTGTTGTTGTTGTTTTGTGTTATGTGCCTTTTTTTCCCCTTTGGTTTTGTTTGTTTTTTTGTCTTCTCTTTGTCTCTGGTGTGTTAGCTGAGTGATATATATAAATATGATATATAGTATATATGTCTCAGTATTATGGCTTTTGATGTTATGTGATATCTTATAATTCCTCTTCGAAACGCCACTTATGGACTTGTCTTATCGAAATGCAAAATGAACTCATTAAGTACACTCAGCAAATGTGGTGGACTGATGGCTATCGTGGAGGAAATATTTAGGAGTATTCCTTTTATTCATCACTGAAGTATGATGGAACCCGACCAATAATTCTACCAGTATTATGTTAAATTAATCTCTGTAATTTATAGTTTTATCAAATGGCTGCTTCTATTTTTTATGCAATGATATTCTGTTATTTTTTTTGTTCATGATGTTATTATTCAATTTATCTTCAACTCAATTTGATGTATATAAATGCATGACCATTTATACCAATATCTTTCAATATTTTCAAATGGCAAAAGTTTAACTTATGTTTGCTGCGCCCCAACATTTTTGTACTGGTTCTTATAGTGGTATTTTGACATTGACATTGAAAGTCGACTATCATACAATTTATCTTTATGTTTTGTATTATTGATCAGAATTACTTCAAGTCAGCACACTGATATAAGTTGTTTTAAAATTAGGTTTCTCCTTAGGACAAGGATAATATTTGATCTTGCTAATGTTTACCTCATGTATTGATTCTGGCTATTCTGTCTTACTATGATATTGTCTCTCTAAACCAGTTGTCCTTAATAGACTTTGGATACTGGTTGTTACATTGCATTGTGTCATTTATCGTTTATTTACTGGTAAGGATATTTATATATGTGATTTGGAATAAATATGCCACTTTATGAAAATTATTAGTGTGTTATTTCGTTAGTTAAAAACAGTAAGTTAATAGCTACTGGGATGTTTTGTTTTGCTAGTGGACGCCAGTGTCTCCTCTGGACGATCTCGTGGAGTCTTAGCTGTTTCATTGATACATGGCTTGCGAACATTTTATATAGATGCGCCTCGTCTTGCTCCTCGTGATTTCATATTAGTACACTCCCTGGCCCTATGTCATAATCGTATTCAAAATCGCCTCTTCCACAGTCTCTGTTTGTCTGCGTTGTTGAGCTGTCATGCGCGAGGCGAGCCTCGGTGTAAGCTGGGGGTAGCGCACTGTCCTATTCTTATATACAGTTCAGTATGTTGGGAATCCTGTCATTATGATCAAAGGCGATGCTATCGCAACACGTTCATGTTTATGTGAAAAGTGTGTTCGGTCCAAATGACTCCGCTGCGGAAATTAGGTAATCATAATATCATGAGGGTGCTACATAACACCACTTCAGGGTGTGTGGGTTGTTTGTGTGTGTGTGTGTGTGGTGTGTGTGTGTGTGGTGTGTGTGTGGTGTGGTGTGTGGTGTGTGTGTGTGTGGGTGTGCTATCGTGTGTGTGTGTGTGGGTGGGTTTTTCTGTGTGGTGTTGTGTTTGTGTGGCTGTGTGTTGTGAGAGGAGAGAGAGAGTAGAGACTGCTAATGTAAGTTCGTGTCTTGTGTTGTGGAGAGTACTAAGAGATTTTATCTGTATGTGTTGTTGCCTTCTCCCCCGTGTAATTGATGCCTCCTCTCCCCCATTCGATTTTGTTCTGATGTCGACCCTGTTTATTGAGTTGTGTGTTAT